ATCTTCCAGCCAGAGTCCCAGAGCCCCTGGAACCCTCTTATCTGCTCCCTCTTCCACATGACAGCCCTGCAGACGCATGACGACAGCCCGCCCACCCCTGAGCCTCATCTGCCCCAGGCCTCTTGTCACCAGCTCCCTCAACCATTCCTTGGGTGACAATTTCCACATCGTATGCCTCCCTGGGGCCCCTCCCCAGTCACACTCAAGTCTGTGCCCTTTCCTCTGCATGGGCAGGACCGGATTTGCACCAAGCCACCCAGAGCACAGCAGATAGGTTACATGCCTGATTCTGGCCTTTCCTGATGCAGACTGGGAGCATCAGGACCCAGCTGGCAACCCAGTCCTACGGCAGCACCTGTGGGGCATGTGGTCCACTGATCCCCTCAGATCTTCTTCAGAGAAGCTGAGCCAAGCCAGAGCTCCTCAGCCTAAAGAGGAAAGGCTGAAGTGCGGCCCCTGCAATTGCATGACCTGTCACAAAACTTGCTCTGGTCTGGTCAGCTGAGCCTGCCCACATCTTCCAGTCATTCATCTCAGACCTGTCACAAAAATAAACAGCTAGCCCTCCCAGCTCTGCAGCCTATTGAGTGGGTTCAGTCAGCAACCCCTCCCGTGATGGCCAACGAGAATCAAAGCCGACATTATCTGTGAGTACTTACTATATGCCAGGCACAGAGTAAGCTTTTGAGAAGGCCTTTTGCTCTCTCCACCTGATAGGTGAGGAAACTGAGGCACTGGAAGGTTAAAGGATCTTCCCAAGGTCAAGAACTACTTAGTAAAAGAGCTGGGGTTTGGATCTGGGCAGTCCAGCTCCAGGTCACCAGTTAAAGGGTTATCCAGGCCAGACTGTGGACAGGAGGTTGCAGCCCACCCGCGCCCCCACCCCCTGCACCTGCCCACGTGTCTATCACCAGGCATTGCCATTTGTTTGTTTTCAGCCAGCTCTCGGCCCTAGGACAAGTGTGGCAAGCGAGACTGTGTCAGAACCTCCATCAGTGTGTTTGAACATCTCCCAGCAGGCGCTTCTGCTGATCAGTTTTTACTCACTCTGCAGTAATTAGGGCCTTAGGTCTTACTTCAGCTAGCAGATCAGGGTGAACTTGGCCCCTGATGGGAGGGAGGGGTGTCCAGCAGGAAGAGCACTGGATCAGGAGTCCCAGGACTCAAGGACCAGCTCTGCCCTCCCCACATCACATGGTCTCCCCAAGCTTCATTTCCTTTTGTATAAAATGCAGAAGACGATGCCTTTGCTGCCTTGAAAACCAGATAGCAAATGGGGAAAAACATTTGGAAAGCAACTTCATGAAAGAAAAGACAGCTTCGTTGTACGAGGCCCCATGCTAGGTGCTGCAGAAACACGTCTGAGCCTCACAAAAATCCTTTCAGCTGGAAGGTATTATCCCAGTTTTATAAGAAGCGGATGCTCCTGTGATGCTAGGTGACCTGATCCTCCTGCCATGGTTGTGGACTTGCTCATCTCTACCCCAGCTGGGACAGAGCTTAGGCCCCTCCCAAAAGGGGCCTAAGACCTTAGAATGACGGAGGGCTGGATGCAGCCCCCGCTGCTCAACAGGGCAGATCAGGCAAGACCCTAATGCTCCTCTTTACATGCACCATTAGCCAGACCACTCCGGCCAGAGACCAGGAGAAGGGGGCAGTAGGTAGAAGCAGAGCCTCAGAGATGAAAGGAGAAGTTCTGGGAGGCAGGGCCAGGTCTGCACTGAACCTGGCCCTAAAGAGCCCACGGCCTCCACAGAACCTCCACCCTCAAGATACCACGTCCTTCTCGTCCTCTCCTGCTCAAGGAGCCCCAAAAGCACCCAGCTCTTTTGCAGAGGTGTCCAAACATGCCATGCTAAATCCTCTGTGATCTGCACCTCTTGTCTATCAATACGGTCTGGGTTCTCCAATCCCAGAGCATGAGTGGAAACCAGGACTTGTGGTCATGTCCCCACAAAGCACCTGGCAGGGGAGGCCCGGATCCTCTCACAGGCACAGCAGCTCCAAGAGGACAGGTTTTGTCTGTTCCCTTCCATTCACTGCTGTGTCCCCCAGTGACCAGAACAGGCCTTAGAACACAGTACGTGAAGAATAAATATTAGAGAGAAAAGAAAGTCAGAAAATCCAATTTGTTTTCTTCCCTCTGTAGACTGGCAGCCATGGTGGGGGGAGAGACTCAACCCACATCTTCCTGGATATCAGGATCCACAGACCCACGGACCCATGGATCCACCATCCACAGATTCAGACACATACACCCACAGATCCTTAGATCCCTGGACCCAGACCCACACAGTCACACTCCCAGAGATCCACAGACCACACACCCACAGTGTGCAGGGCATATACAGCTCCCTGGGCTCTCTGAGCCCCCAGGCCAGACCCGGGACTCTAGGGGCACAAGAGCAGACTGAAGGCATTAAGGCTGGGGCATGTCCTAGGAACATATGGGAAGAAAACATTCTGCGGCAAAGAACAGGAGGCAGGGAAGGGGTTGGAAAGGAGAAGTGGGGACAGGAGGACAGGCGAGGAAGAGGAGCAGGGGAAGAGCTGGTGACAGTGGAGAAGGGATGTAGGGGAGAGCGCCCTGCTCTCCCTGCAGCCCAGGGGGGTCTCTATAGACCCCCACACCCAGCCCAGCATCCCCTCTTTCCAGACAGTTTTGACACCACGAGCTGGGGGGCTGAGGAATCAAAGAAGGCAGCTGCCGAAGTGGAGACAGCCACGGATCAAAGAGCCACACAGAAGCCTGTTTGGTTCCCTTGGAAAGCACTGGGAACTGCGGGGTGGCAGGAGCCCTGCCAGCGTGGGGGAGGGACAGAGTGGTGCCCAGAAACAGACTGGCCTGAGAGCCCCTTCCTTGGGGCTGAGGCCCAGGGCAGCCACAGTTGGGGTGTGGGGTAAAGGTGGCAGAGAGGGCCATGGAGGGGGGCATGATGAAGGAGACTGGGGGAGGGGAGTCGGAGGTGGTGATCCCCATGGGCTCAGGGTGGAGAACTGGGTCCAGAACCACAGAGAGGCTGCGGTCCCCAAAACTGCTCCCCGTTTGGCTATGGGCTCAGCAGGATGTCTGGAGCAGAGAGAGGGTGAGAGAGGAGGGGGTTCTCACAGCACCCTCCACCCCTACCTGACCACTCAAGGTCAAGGGGAGGCCGCAGGGACCCGAGGACTGCCTGGCGCCCCCTGGTGGGCCTGGAAGATGCCCTCTCAGCCCTAGCTTTCTCAGGAAGGCTTGGAATGGGGGCGAGGGGAAGGGCATGCAGGGTGAGGAGGAAGAAATGGGGAAGAAGTGGGCAGAGAACTTTGGTCAAAGGAAGGGGAAGGGGCCTCCGGCCAGCCCTGCAGCCCCTTCCCCAAGCCTCCTATCGTGAGCCCTGGGGCAGGCACAGCAGCTCTGCACAGCTAGGAAGAGAGCATGGAGGCCACGGTGTGGTGCCCAGGCCCTCTGGGGTTGTGGGCAGGTTCATGGGTTTGGTGCCAGCCCAACAGCCTCCAGGCACACTCTTTCCTTTTCCTCTTCCTCCCCCTGCTGCAGCCCCAGACCTGGTCCCAGCTCAGTGTCACCCTGTCCTGTCCTGACCTGTCATCCACTGGTGTCCCCTCCCTCTGTCTCTGCATTGACGGTGGAGGCGGGAAGGGAACTGGGAGGTCTCTAGACTCCCAGCCCAGTCCTGGATCCTGAAGCCTGAACAGAAAGTTTGTCCTGAAGGGTGGACAAGAGTTCCGGAAGTGAGTCCTTAGGGCTAAGAGAAGCCACAGATCCAAGAGGTGACCAGGTGCCAGCAGGGCCTGAGGACGGGGCGCAGGAAGGTAGGCCCACACCCCGGGCCAAACCCTTCCCCTGGGCTGGGCCACAGACCCACACCTCTGTTCTCACAGCATCCTAGCCCGAGGCGGTGCCAGCCTCTGCGGGGTGAATCCTCCAAGCGGTGAGAGACAGAGGACGAACTGGCCACTGCCTGGGCCAATCTGAGTGCTCCAACCAAGACTCTCCTCACATGGTGATCAGACCCCAGCACACCACACACGCCAGACACGCAGGCCCACTCCAGCGCTCGCTCATTCTCTCTCTCTCTCTCTCACACACACACACACACCTGGACCCAGGACACAGACCCTCAGGACGATAATATAGCGCAGAGGTCTTCTCAGACCCCAATCTCATCCACAGATCAGGACCCCCCAGGGCTCTGACAGGGAAGAAAGACACTAGCAGAGGGGCTGACTGAGGCCTCAGCCTGGGCCCCACCACAGCCCCCTCCCCCAGGCACCATGACTTCCCCCAAAAGAGGCCTCCCCACCACTGCCAAGCCCCCTAGTCCCCCACAGCTCCCCCCTAACACCACCCAGTAGGCAATTAGTACCCAATCATCATGAGCACTCATTACATAACACCTCCAGCCGGCGAGGGTCCCTTTCACCCCTACAGCCCCGGCTCCGACCCTGGCCTGGCTTCATGCAGCGAGGCCTCCGCCCCGCTGGGGTGCGGGCCAAAGAGGGGGTCTCCGCCACCCCCGCCTCCAGCAAAGTTAAACCCTGCCCGGGATTCCCCCATCCAGTGCCCCCCGCTGCCGCGCTCCCGGGCCAGCGCTCCCAGCTCAGCCCGCCGGACACGGGCACCAGCTCTGGCCCAGCTGCCCGCAGAGCCGCAGCCGCTGAGGGGCGGCCGGACGCGCGGACAGCCCGGGCCCCGGCCGCCAGCCTGACTTGTTGAATAAATTTCTGCAGCGCTGGCTCAGCTGGCTTCAGTATTGGCACCGAGAGAACTTTCGTGGCCTTGGAGAGGGGACCGGTCAAAGTTTCCTGTCCTTCCTCCCAAGGCATGGCCCCGAAGGCGCGGGATGGGGGGCTCACCTGACGGGTACGCGCGGGTGGGAAGGATCGGTCCCCAGAAATAAATAAATAAATGCCCCAGTGAAGAGAGAAGCCAACGCGCCAAGAAACTGGCATCGAAACGAAGCCCTCCCTTCCTTCCCCCCACCCACCCCGCCCCCACCTACCTTGGCATGGACCTGGCCCGGCCGCGGGGGGTCGTCCAGGTTAGAGACGCGGGGACACGGCGTCCGGCACCCGAGCGCGTCGGTAGCGGACCTGCGTCCGGCAGCCGACCCCCCGCCATTCAGGATCAGCTGAGCCCGGCGGGAGGCGGCCGGCGGGCGGCCGGCATGGTGGAGGAGAGCGGGGGCGCGGCGGCGCGGCGGAGGACGGCGAGGCTCTGGGCGGGCGGCGGGCGGGAGCGCGGCGCTCCGGGCCGGGGCGGGGGCGCGGGTGCTGCGGGGACCGAGCGGCGGGGCAAGTGCCCGGGAGAGACCGGCGCGGCGGGGAGCGCGGGGCTGGGGCCGGTCTCTCGCCTGCCTCGGCTCTGCTCGCGCCTCCGGCTCCGGGCTCGAAGCGCGGGGTCTGCGCGCGGCGGGGGCTGCGGAGGAGCCCGAGCGCCTGGCGGTGCGGGGACGTGCGGCGGCGGCGAGACCGAGCCGCGCCGCGTGCGAGGAAAAGCCGTCCTTATACTGACACCAAATGTCTTCGGGGAAAGCTGCAGGCGCGGGACGCTGGAGGGGGGAGGCGTGGAGGCGACAGACAGACTGACGGCGGTGGCTGGTGAGCTCCCTGCCCCTCCCCAGGGGGCAGGAAGCCCCCAGCCCGCGGCCAGCTCCTTAAAATTAAGGGTCGTGCCTGGGGGAGGGTCCTGACCCTTCAGCATGGGGGCTGCGTCAGGAGTAAGAAGGTGGGGGGGTGGCAATACTGACCACCCCCGTGTCCCAGGTGACTGCTCTGCCGCATTCCACCCTGGCTTCCCACTGAGATCCAGGTCGGGGGTGTTTACCCCACTGTCCCGGGAAGGGGTCACCCACCTAAGGCCCCAGCTCTTAAACGGTAGAGCTGAGCTAGAACCCAGCTCTAGAGGTCGCTCCACCTCCCGGACTGCCTCCCCACTTCTCATTCACACCCCTGCTTCTTCCCACCCTCCTAGGCTTGGCTGAAAGGCCACCTCCTTCAGGAAGGCTTCCCAGAGGGCCCCCAGGTGGAACAGATGCACCTCCTCCAGGAAGGCGTCCCAGAGGGCCCCCAGGTGGAACAGATGCACCTCCTCCAGGAAGGCTTCCCAGAGGGCCCCCAGGTGGAACAGATGCCCCTCCTCCAGGAAGGCGTCCCAGAGGGCCCCCAGGTGGAACAGATGGACCTCCTCCAGGAAGGCTTCCCAGAGGGCCCCCAGGTGGAACAGATGCACCTCCTCCAGGAAGGCTTCCCAGAGGGCCCCCAGGTGGAACAGATGCACCTCCTCCAGGAAGGCCTCCCAGAGGGCCCCCAGGTGGAACAGATGCACCTCCTCCAGGAAGGCTTCCCAGAGGGCCCCCAGGTGGAACAGATGCACCTCCTCCAGGAAGGCTTCCCAGAGGGCCCCCAGGTGGATCCAGCTGCAAAGGCTTCAGTCTCACCACTTCCCAGGACCCTGTCACACCGATTCCCCCAATCCCATGCTCCTCAGGCCTGTCTCCCTTCCTATCTCACCCAAGGGCTGTGGACTGGGGAGAGGGAGTGTTCAAGGTTATAACCTCCTTTTATTTGTTCATTTGCATGCAGTCAAACAAATTAAAGGCATCAAGACTCTCCTCAATGCAGGCCAAATGGTCTCCTCACTGCCTCACAACGCAGGAAGCATTTAGTGAGCACCTGCTGTGTGTTAGGCACCTCTTTAAACCGCCTGGAGTTCCACCCTTTTGACCCCATTTTACCGATGAAGAAACTGAGGCCAGAGATGAGCTGCCTGGCAAAAGTTACTCTGCTGGGAAGCAGTAGCCCCCAGTACGAGTCCAGTGCTCCCAACCCCTGCCCATATGTCATCACGCTGGGCTGCCCAGCACAACCCTCTCCACCTCCTGGGAGAATGTGTGGTGAGGGGCACCAGGGGGATGCTGAGGGCTGCCTTGGGCACCCCCATGCTAGCAGATAGTCACAGCTTTAGAGAAAGGTGCACTCTGGTTTGATCCCAGCTCTGCTGCTTCCTGACTGAGGATGGGAAGCAAGCCCCTTAACATCTCTGAGCCTCAGGTGCCTCATCTGTGAAATGGGGATAAGGGTTCACACTTTGCAGGATGCAAACCATCTTTAAAGGGCTTAGCACAGTGCCTGACACATAGTAGGTGTCCAACAAATATTCATCCCTTTCTAGCTTTTAATCTAAGGAGACAAGACAAGCCTTTGTAACCAGACTACAAGGCAAGGTCGTGTAAGCACACAACGGGCTGAGAGGTGTCTTATAGGTGTGAATTCAGCAAGCCAGACAGCCCTGCGGGTGGGACGGATTTATATCAGATCAGAGTGGGCTTTAGATCAGGAGTCTTCAGGGAAGCCTCATCAAAGGCGAGAGACTTGAGCTGAGCCTTGAAAGCTTGTACAGGATTGAGATAAGAAGAGAGAAGTGGGTAGAGAAATGGCATCAAGGATGGAGAAGGCGGCCGGGCGCGGTGGCTCAAGCCTATAATCCCAGCACTTTGGGAGGCCGAGACGGGCGGATCACGAGGTCAGGAGATCGAGACCATCCTGGCTAACACGGCGAAACCCCGTCTCTACCAAAAAAATACAAAAAACTAGCCGGGCGTGATGGCGGGCGCCTGTAGTCCCAGCTACTCGGGAGGCTGAGGCAGGAGAATGGCATAAACTCAGGAGGCGGAGCTTGCAGTGAGCTGAGATCCGGCCACTGCACTCCAACCTGGACAAGAGAGCCAGACTCCCTCTCAAAAAAAAAAGGAGGGAGAAGGCATGGAGGCAGGAACAAGGTAGCATGGCAGGCACTCCATGTACTGAGAAGCTGAATGCACAGCTAGAAAGCCCCAGGCCTGGAGGGTGAAAGAAATCAGGCGGCACGATGGGGAGAAGATACCAACCATCGCCAACTTCCTCCCATTTTCCTCCAGCGACGTTTTCATAAAGCAAAGTTCAGAAGGCTGGACGGGACCTGGAGAAGCCACCAGATGGTGAATTCTCAGGTCTGGGTCCCTTCAGCTATAGTCCTCTGAAGTGGCCACCCTGTCCCTGCTTGTACACCTGAGGTGACGTAGATCTCACCACCTCCTGGGGCAGCTTCTCTGCTCTCTGGGTATCTCTGATCATTCAAAGCTCTTTTATAGATTTGAGCAGAAATCTGCTACCCTCCGTGATCTGGGCCCCTTCCTTGTCTTGACCGGACTAACACTCCCACCTCAGCCTCCTTCAAGCATCTATACTAGCAGAAACCCCTGTTTTATATCTAACCTAAATGCCTTATGTTTCTTTTTTTTTGAGACAAGCTCTCACTCTATTGCCCAGGCTGGAGTGTAGTGGCTCAATCACGGCTCATTGCAGCCTCGACTTCCCAGGCTCCAGTGATCCTCCCACCTCAACCTCCCGAGTATCTGGGAACACAGGCACTCGCCACCACACCTAGTTAATTTTTTGTACTTTTTGTAGCGACGGGGTTTCACCACGTTGCCCAGGCTGGTCTCGAACTCCTGGGCTCGAGCGATCTGCCCACCTCAGCCTCCCAAAGTGTTTGGATTACAGGCATGAGCCACCACGCCTGGCCCATGCTTTATGTTTCAACTAAAACCCTAGGCCAAGTGCGGTGGCTCACACCTGTAATCCCAGCACTTTGGGAGGCTGAGGTGGGTGGATCATCTGAGGTCAGGAGTTCAAGCCTAGCCTGGCCAACATGGTGAAGCTCTGTCTCTACTAAAAATACAAAAATTAGATTGGCGTGGTGGCAAACGCCTGTAGTGTCAGCCACAGGGACGCTGAGGCAGGAGAATCGCTTAAACCCAGGAGGCGGAGGTTGCAGTGAGCTGAGATCATGCCGCTGCACTCCAGCCTGGGTGACAGAGCGAGACTCCATCTCAAAAAACAAAAAAAAAACTTACTTGTCCACTCTGTCACTATTCTGTCCACCCCACTATCCACCCAGGATAGGGAGTGGGTTATGTGGATATGAGGGATGACCCTGAAACCCACTGGGGCTGAGAGTACTACTCCATGTCTCAGCAAGAAGCAGGACTGGGGAGGTCCCTCCTGAGGGCCCTTGCTGACTGCAGGAGTTTCGTCCATGCATTACTGCTATTTATATTGTGCCTGGTAATTGCAGAAGGCTGCATCAGCCACACCTTTGTTGGTCCCACCATGTCCTGGGAGTAGGGCTGCCAGGCCACTGCCAGTGGGCGGACAAGGTGGACCCCGGCCTGGAGCCCCCTAATGCACCCACATGACAAATGAACCAGGCTCCCTAGACCCGGAATCCCCTGCCCTCTTCCAGGGACAAAACCCAACCAGGTTCTTCCTCACTACTGCAGCAGCTGCTGGGCCCAGGCTCACCTCCGCCCCCCAGAACTTGTTTGCAATTGCAGTGGCTGGATAGAAAGGGATCTTCTGTCCATGGGGACAAATAAACAAGCTGGGCTGAAGGAAACTGGGGCAGAATTCCTGCCCTAGGACATGAAATGAGGTCCCTTCTAGGCCTAAAGATCTTAATAGCACAAGGACAAAGATTCCAGTATGCTCAGAATTCACACTGATTTATTTCTCAAATGCTCACAGATGCTCTATCTGTGCCAGGCCCTGGTGTAAGCACTTGACAAAAATTAACCCCCTTAAGTCTTACTATAATCTTGTAAAATCAGACCAGGCGCAGTGGCTCATGCCTGTAACCCCAGCACTTTGGGAGGCCCAGGTGGGTGGGTCACTTGAGGTCAGGAGTTTGAGACCAGCCTGGCCAACATGGCGAAACCCCGTCTCTACCAAAAAATACCAAAACTAGCCAGGCATTGTGGCATGTGCCTGTGTAGTCCCAGCTACTCAGGAGGCTAAGGCAGGAGAATCACTTGAACCCTGGAGGCAGAGGTTGCAGTGAGCCAAGATCATGCCACTGCACTCCAGCACTCTGGGTGACAGAGTGAGACTCCATCTCAAAAAAAAAAAAAGAAAGTAAAGAAAAGAAGGAAGGAGAAAGAAAGAGAGAGAGAAAAAAGGGAAAGAAAGAAAGAGAAAGAAAGAAAAGAAAAAAATCTTGTAGAATCATTGCTACCATTTCACAGGTGAGAA